TGGGATGAAAGATCTTAACACCTAGGACTAAGTCTCCCCATCATAATTGTACACCTTCATTGCATGGGATTTTGGTTTTCCACAAATGTTGGATTCAGATGTTAATTGGATATGCTAAAACTGCAAATAATAAAATGAAATGTAATGGGGACAAGCTAGAAACATTTCCAATAAGATTGGGGGTGAAACAAGGATGTCCATTATCACCACTGCTGTTCAATATCATACTGGAAATGTTAGCTTTAGTGGTAAGAGAAGAAAAAGAAATTGAAGGTATTAGAATAGGCAAAGAAGAAACAAAGCTATCACTTTGCAGATGACATGATGATATACTTAGAGAATCCTAAAGAATCAAGTAAAAAACTACTTGAAATAATAAACAACTTTAGCAAAGTTGCAAGCTATAAAATAAACCCACATAAATCATTGGCATTTCTATATATTACCAACAAAGCTCAACAAGAAGAGATAGAAAGAGAAATCCCATTTAAACTTACTGTAGACATTATAAAATATTTAGGAGTCTACCTCCCGAAACAAACCCAGGAACTATATGAACACAATTACAAAACACTTTTCACACAAATAAAGTCAGATCTAAATAATTGGAAAAACATCAGTTGCTCATGGGTAGGCCGAGCTAATATAATAAAAATGACAATTCTACCTAAGCTAATTTACTTATTCAGTGCCATACCAATGAAACTACCAAAAATTATTTTATAGAGTTAGAAAAAATAATAAGATTCATTTGGAAGAACAAAAGGTCCAGAATATCAAAGGAACTAATGAAAAGAAATGCAGGGGAAGGCGGCCTAGCCATTCCAGATCTTAAATCGTATTATAAAGTGGCAATCATCAAAACTGCTTGGTACTGGCTAAGAAATAGAGTGGTGGATCAGTGGAATAGGTTAAATATGCAAGACACAGTAGTCAATGACTACAGTAATCTATTATTTGATAAACCCAAAGACCCCAGCTTCTGGGATAAGAACCCACTCTTTGAAAAAAAAAACTGCTGGGAAAACTGGAAAACAGTATGGCAGAAACTAGGCATAGCCAAAATCTCACACCATATACCAAAATAAAGTCAAAATGGGTTCATGATTTAGATATAAAGGCTGATACTATAAGCAAACTGGGAGAGCAAGGAATAGTTTACCTATCAGATCTATGGAGAACAGAAGAATTCATGACCAAACAGGAGATAGAGAACATTGCAAAAAGCAAAATGGACAAGTTTGATTACATTAAATTGAAAAGTTTTTGCACAAACAAAGCCAATGCAGCTAAGATTAGAAGGAAGGTAGAAAATTGGCAAAGAATTTTTACAACCAGTCTCTCTAATAAGGGCCTCATTTCTAAAATATACAGAGAATTAAGTCAAATCTATAAGAATACAAGTCATTCCCCAATTGATAAATGGTCAAAGGATATGAACAGGCAATTCTCAGATGAAGAAATTAAAGCCATCTATAGTCATATGAAAAAATGCTCTAAATCACGATTGATTAGAGAAATGCAAATCAAAACAACTCTAAGGTACCACATCACACCTATCAGATTGACCGACATGACAAAACAGGAAAATGATAAATGTTGGAGAAGATGTGGGAAAAATGGAACACTAATGCATTGTGGGTGGAGTAGTGAAATGATCCAACCATTTTGGAGAGCAATTTGGAACTATGCCCAAAGGGCTATAAAAATGTGCATATTCTTTGACCCAGCAATAACACTTCTAGGGCTATATCTGAAAGAGATCATACAAATTGGAAAAGGACCCACATGTACAAAAATATTTATAGCAGCTCTTTTTGTGGTGGCAAAGAATTGGAAATTGAGATGATGCCCATCAATTGGGGAATGTCTGAGCAAGTTGTGGTATATGAATGTAATGGAATACTATTGTGCTATAAGAAATGATGAACAGGCTGACTTCAGAAAAACCTGGAAAGACTTGTATGATCTAATGTTGAGTGAAGTGAGCAGAGCCAATAGAACGTTGTACATAATAACAGCCACGTTGTGCGATGACTAATGTTGATAAACTTAACCCTTCCCAGCAATACAAGGATCTAAGACATATCCAAAGGCCTCGTGATGGAAAATGCTATCCACATTCAAAGAACTACGGAATTTGGACGCAGATCGAAGCATATTCACTATTTTTTTTCTCTTCTGTTGAGTTTTTTCTTCTTTCTGGTGGTTTCTCCTATTGGTTCTAATTCTTACTTGCAACATCACTAATGTGAAAATATGTTTAATAGGAATGTTTATGTATAGCCCATATCAGATTGTGCACCAGTTTTGGGAGGGTGGTGGGGAGGAAGGGGGAGAAAAATTTTAAACTCAAAAGTATATAGAAGTGATTGTTGATAAATCAAAATAAATTAATAACAAATAAAATTAAATTAAGATAATTTTAACAATCATATCTGGGAGGGCAGGGGTGAAAGATATTTCCTCTCTACTAATGGTGACAAAGGAAGTTAGAATACTTGCTTAATGGAGTGAGGTTGGAATACTCATCTTTAATAATACCTTGTGGCCAGGGAAGAATGTGGATGATACCTGGAGATTAATAAAAGTCTACAGTGAGTGGAATAAAGTAGTTCCACCAATTTTTGTAGCTTTTCCTGATCTTTCCAGTATAGTTCAATGAACCAGATAGTTCAGGCCTCAGGTGAGTTTTATGGAATTATTGATTTCACCAGTGCTTTCTTTTCCATAGCACTCAGAAGGCACTTCAAACATAGTAAAACAAAATGGGCTGCCTCCCTACTGCCAGGCCTGTCCTTTTATATTTCAAGGGACCAGGACTGAAAAGCATCAGGTGGGGCTAAGCCAAGAACAGGAAAGAAGATAGTCTGGGGCCACAACATCTACAATGATCCTAGGAAAACAGTCCAAACTCCCCCTACAGAGCAGGACAGGTAAGAAGAGAGATCTGTATTGACTCTCCTAGGACTAAGAGTCTTTATTAGCTGCTCAGTAATTTGGATGATGGCAACAGAAAACAGACCCTAGAACCCTCCTCTTTCCACTTTTATAATAAACACTGTGGATTGATCTGGTTTTGGATGCTGAAGTCTCTTCTGCTACCCAGTACTCCCTCTAATCAAGGAATACAGAATAAAGAGGTTGAGTGTTGTCATGGTGACTTAATAGTTAAAAAATACATTTTAAAAGGACTCAGATTTATTCTCTTCTACCATCCCTTGCCCATATTGGCTAACATGTTTACCACCTCTATACAACAAAAGAAGGTACAAAGTCATTATTCTTATTAGTACAATTAATAAAGTATTAGAGGATCAGAAATGAACCTTTGAGATTTAGTCATTTGGACTATTTTACATGATTACATCAGCCTGTAGTCAGAGGACCTGGGTTCCAATCTCACCTTTGCTATCTATTGCCTGTATGACTTGGGTAAATCATTTCACTCCCACAGGCCTCCATTTCCTTATCTGTAAAGCTAGCTGGAGATGTCCTAGATAAACTCTATGGTTCTTTACAACCACAATTTTTAAATCCCATTGTATTTTGCTCATTATTCTAAAGTACAACCCAAATTATTACTTTCCCCCTCCCCCAGAGTGATTTTTCTTTGTGAGGAGTCACTCTCATCATTGCAATTGGCAAAAAAATATAATTAACCCATTTATTCTTTGTTAAACATTTTCTATGTGCCAGGCACTATGCTAGGAACTGGGAATACAAAACAGAACAAAATAGTTCTTGTCTTCAAGAAGCTTACATTCTATGATGGGAAGGGACGACATACATATATGTGTATGTATGAATATTGTACATATTCATACATACTATGTGCACACATGTATCCATATCTATCAAAAACTTTCAACTTCACTAAGACTTTTGGGACATCATACATCTAAACTGTAATACATATGTGTAGACTTACACCTATATATATTATCACACTATATACATGCATATGTATATATATGTACATATATGTATATGTGTAATAATTATATATGTGTAGGTATACACACAACGTAAATATTTAGCAGTTTGGGGGTGGGCAGCAATAGCATTTGGGGGAGAGTGGAATCTAGAAAGGCCTAATGAAGAAGGTAGTGTTTGAGTAGAGTTTTAAAAAGCCTATGGATTTTGATAAGTGAAAAGGGAAGGCCTGCCCTCCAAACATTGGGAACAGCCTACGCAAAGGCTCTTCTGAGGGGAACAGTAAGGCCAGTTTGACTGCCACCATAGAATGTGTTAAATATCCCTCCAACTACTTGGCTTGCCAGATATATTTTTGTTGAAATTCTTCAGGAATTTCTCACCTTCCCAACCTCCCTGGCAGGAGGGCTCTTGGCTGGCTTTCCTTCCAGGCCTCAAAAGTCCTTGAAGTGCACAATAAAAGGGTGACTAACCATTGCTTTCTTTTGGCCCCTCTTGGTGCAACCATTTTGCAACTGACAATGGAGGCCAGGCATCAAAAAAGATGCTCTTCTCTATGAATCCAAGGGTCTCTGAGTTAGCCCCGGGGAGGTGGAGGAAAGTTAGGTCGAGAGTGTAGGCTACCAACGCCGAACGAGTAAACTGTGGAACGACACATAGCCATCATAAAAGCCAGTAGCCCCCCGCCTCTAGCACCAGACCCTTGCCCTCGTACCTGTCCCCTTCTAATTTGACGGGGAAGTTCTCAATCACTAATCCCCACTCCAAATCGCTCGCTAAACCATGAAGCTTTGCATCTCGGGAACTGTAGTTCTGATCATAGCCCAGAGCTCCTGGTCCTCCTTTCCAGCTCCTGGGGATGAGCTCCATTGCCTAGGCCGGTCCGTACCCCGAGCTAACGCTGGAGAGGGGGGAAGGGGTACTGCGAACGCGCGCTCAGAGGGTGGATTCTGGGGGCATTTGCTGGGGGCTGAGAGAGGGGGGAAGGGAGACTACATTTCCCAGACTGCCCGGCTAATGCAGGGAGTCGGCTCCTCCAGTTTGCGTGAGGGCTGCAGGTTGATCTTGGTTGCAGATGAGCGCAGAATTTATAAGCGAGAGCAAGTGAAGTGGGGGGGTGGGGAGTCCTGGGCAGAAGAAGTACCCAGGCCAGGCGAATTATGCATACGTTAGGCACACACTGAGAGAATGGCTGTGGAAGGTAAGAGACATCTAAGTCCTATTTCCTGCAGCAGCAGCAGCAGCTGCATCGACACGCGCACCCCAGTGCACCCACTGATGAGGATTGAGGGGATCGTAGGGGGAAGGGAGAGGGATGAGATGGGAAGGAAGGTGAGGGGGAGGGAATGTAGTTCTGCCGCCTCCTGCCCCTCACCTGAGCCACCCAGGAGAAAACACTGGGTTATGACCAGGGAGAGGTGGCCCAGAGGGGCGATGGTGTGCAAAGGAATTGAGGTCTGGAGGTGGGGAGAGGATAAAAATCCCATTATGCAAATTGTTACACCGGGAATCGGAGGGACGCCTTAGCTACCCGGTCCGAAGTGCCAGCCCCCACACTGATCTCCTCGGCCCTCTGCAGCCTCCCCGGGCTGGGTGGGTGATGAGCTCTTTTCGTGCCCCCACGTGGGGAGGGGGACCCTTGCCAGGTGCGTCATCCCCCCAGAGCTCGGGATCTCGGACTGCGATTGGGCTGGAAACCCCTCCCTCCGACGCTGGGCTCCAAGCTGGGCGCGCAGGAGCAGCTGCGGCGCCTGTGCCGGGGCTGGAGAGGTGTCACTACACCTGTCTCCTTGCTCCCGCAGCCGCACTCGCCGCTTGGGAAAGTTTGTGGGCACGAAATCCGTGCGGGGTGTGGGGGTAGGGGGAAACTACCCGAATCCCTTCAGAGTGGTGGCGGGGTGGGAATGGTTGTGATTCTATCTCTTTTTCCTTTTGGCATTTGGATCTCCCGTACCCGGTTTCCGAGTTTTGTTTGGCAATTATATCTGTAAATTACAACATCTACTGAGCTTCCTGTTTGGAGGCGTGGTTGGGGATGGGAACATCCTGGGGTTCAAGTAGGGGTCCAAGCCCTGGGGTCATAGGAGCATGGATTTAGAGTACCCTTAGAGGGTATCCAGTACGGATGAGAAAACTAAGGCCTTGGAATGTGACTTGGCCAAGGTCTCAAAACTAGTAAGTGGCAGTCAGTTTTCGAACTTAGGTCTTAGCACTCTCAGGTCTTTTGACTCCAAATCAGTGCTTTGGCTGTAAAATTCCCATAACAGATACTTGTTTTATAAAAATTAGGGGTTAATCATGAAAACCACTAATATTTATGATGTCAAATTGTATGATGAGTCAAGCCAGTCAGGAAATGATTGAACCGCAATGACTAAAGGTAGCATTCACATTCTCATTTATAGAGAATTACTTATGGTATAGAAGGGCGGCATTGATCCAAAGCCTTTCCCAGGCATCAAGGGCAAGAGAGAAGGAAACACCCCAGCAGCAGAACTGGGCTCAGTGCCATCGGGAAATGAGTCTATTCCTTGTGGGCAAGAGACAAGAATCAGTCTCTGAGGGCCTCTTTCTTTTGGAGTAGAAAAGAAGAAGAATGGCTCTCCAATTTAAACATCAACCTTGTCCTCCTAATAGTTCTTATGCTCAGTAGCCAGGTGCTTACCTCCTGCTTGTCAGCCTTTTGAGCAGGAAACGTTTATTTGCCATTTAATATCTATCCATTGTCACCAGCTACTACATTAATGTACATTTTCACATACACGTGTGTATCTATATCTCAAGTCATTCAATTAATTAACATTTATTAAGTGCCTACCACGTGTTAGGCACTTTGCTAAGCACTAGGCATACAAAGAAACAAAAGACAGTCCTTGCCCTCAAGGAGCTTACAATCTAATAGGTGAGACTATATGAAAACAAATACATACAAAGCAAGCTATATGCCGGATAAATGGGAAATAATAAACAGAGGGAACACACTTGAACTAAGAAGGAATGGAAAAGCGTTTCAGGAAAACAAGGTAGGGCTGTAAAGGAAATCAGGGAGGTCAGTAGGCAGAGTGGAGGAGGGAGAGCATTCCAGGCATAGGGGACAGCTGGAGAAACTCTGCATGCTGGGAACATTTCAAATGAGGACCCAGCCTAGTTGACTTCATAAGGGCTTGTTCTCCTGAAGATTGGACCAGTATGGGATGCAAAGCCGTTCAAATGAGGTGTAGTTCTCTCAGTTTCAATTGGTGTTAGTTGCTGGAATAGGCTGAGGATTGGATTTATTGGGTTTAGGATTTCTCTGTTAGAGGGAATTCTTGGATGAGGAAACTCCCTCTATCAGTGAAGGTTGACTAGGTAACTCTATTCTTAGAGTTACCTAGAACATTGATAAATTAAGTGACTTACTTAGGATCACATGGTCAGTATGTGTCAAAAGTAGAACTGGAACCCAGAACTTTTTGGTTTTGAGACATGGGCTCTCTACTGTTTGCTCTATATGAGAAGGAGAGAGGATAGGAATGTAGATGTAAGGGCAGAAGGAACCTAAGAAGCCATGTAGTCCAATGCTGTCAAATTTAAATAGAAACAGATCCCTGCAGGGACATTTTGACTTAGAAAAACCACAAATTAATCTTATGTTGAATTTTTATGTATTGTGTTAAACATTTCTCGTTGCATTTTAATCTGGTTCTAGCTTCACCTGCTCATTTTGCAGACAGAGAACTTGAGCTGAAGGAGGTTAAGTGATTTGTTCAAGGTCACACAGGTCATCAGTGGGATTTGAACTGAGACCATCTGATTCCAATGTTGGTGCCCTTTCCCCCACTGAAATCCTCTCTTGGCTTGTGTAGTCATGTTGGATACTCAAAGACTGTCTATACCATTCTACCAAGTTGGAAAAGCTAGTATAGGCCTAGTAACACCAGTATGTGTCAGTTTGGAGGGTCTTATTGTCAGATTGGCCAAAGGGTGAAGAAATATGGAGCCATAGTTACTGAGAGACTGTCAGCTAAGTTACAAAAGGGGTTTCTGGGTTTGTAAAGGGAATATCCACATTGTGAACAGAGATCCTTACATATTGAAGCCAGTTTGTTTGTGTCTGTGTGTGTGTATATATATGTGTATATATATATATATATATATATATATATATATATATATATATATATATATATGCATATATGTATATATATATGTGTGTGTGTGTGTGTATGCGCATATGTCTCTGTGTGTATATGAACATATACATTTATAGTGTACATATTAATATATTACATAATATGTATATAGAATTGGTCATTCCCTTCTTACAGTTTTCTTCTCCTTTTGAAGCAAGATTTTACCCAAACAAGAGGTTGGAGCAAAGCACACTTCAAAGGAAGTAGGAGGGCTTTTTAAAAGGAGCCAGTAAGAATTTCAGTTAGTGTCATGTGTGTTATTGGTCACCCAAATTGTTTTTTGGGGTTTCTGCAGTTCTCAATTTCACTCACTTGGCATTTGAGAGAGTTGAAGCAAAGAAAGGAAAGAGTTAAACCAGTTGTTCCCCTTTAGAGTAATTATTTCTCTTTTTAACATTTTGTTCTGGTTTTCTAGAAGAGACAGCAGAGGATTGACAGTGTCTGGAAGATCTGGGTTCTGCCTCTGCCACATTTGCTGTGTTACCCTGGGTAAATCCTTTAACCCCATAGTGTGGCAGGCAGTTTTCTAAGACTCTCAAGTAACAGATGAGTTATATAGATCTGCCTCAGTTTCCACATTGGGGAAAAAAGAGAAATATGAAAGAAAGGTGCAACTTTTCTTTTTTTTTGTGACCAAGCTTGATCATTATAATTATATAGTCTTCAGTTTTTTGTTATTGCTATTGTTCTTTCAATGTATATCATAGTAATAGTGGGTACTTTTATTTTAATCATGGTGCTTTTTGCTTTGGATCAGTTCATATAAGTCATCTCATGTTTCTCTGTATAAGAAGTGATTGATATGATTATTACAGATTTCTTCCCTATATTCAATAAAGTGTATCTCTAGGTCTTTCTTGTGGGAAAATTTTGTTAGTCTATTCTAGTTAGCACATATACTTCCAAGTGACAAAGCTTCATTGCTTCATATTCTCTCTCTCTCTCTCTCTCCTCTCCCTCTCTCTCTCTCTCTCTCTCTCTCTCTCTCTCTCTCTCTCTCTCTCTCTCCCTCTCCCTCTCTCTCTCCCCCTCTCTCTTTCTTCCCCTCTGTTTCTCCCCCTCTCCCTTCCATCATTATTTATTTATTTACTAATTCTGACCAACTTTCCTCTCCTAATTCATATGAATTATTGAGGTTTTACTGTGTAGGTATCATTCATTTTAAGTAAATTTGATAAAATTTGATAATATAGTCTTTTGGGGCTTCCACAATTGCTCCGTATTATAGTAGGATGGTGACAAATTGGAGTATCCCAGAGGAACATAACCAGATTGGTGAAGGGACTTGACACTGTGCCATTTGAGGATCAGTTGAAGTCATTGGGAATGTTTAGATTGGAGAAGAAAAGACTCAGTCTTCAAGTATTTGAGGGGTTGTCAGGCTAGATTTGTTCTGTCTGGCCCTAGAGAGTAGAATTAGGAACAGAGGTTCAGAGAGGCAGATTAAAATTTGATGTCAGCTGGAAATTCTTAACAATTAAAATTATCTTAAAGTGGAGAGGGCTGCTTGGGAAGACTCATAGAAAGCTTTAAGCAAAAGTTAGGTGACCGCTTATTGGGGATATTACAGAAAGTCATTGCAGTATAGTGGATAGAGCTCAGGGCAAAATCAGAAAGTATGTGGGTTCAAATCCTGCCTTAGATGCTTCCTAGCTGTTAGATTCTGTACAAGTCATTCATCCTCTCTGAGACACAGCTTCTTCATCTGTAAATGGGAATAATTATAACTTATAACTTTAACATAAATAAGTATTGAACCCAGTGCTACATTAACATAAGACTTTTGCAGCTTACAAACCAACTAGCCACAGAATTGGGACAAAAAATAAGAGTAAGTTATAGCAGATAAGAACCACAAAATCTACAAATATTTATGAAGAGCCTATAAAAACTATGCTGAGCATCACAAAAGATTTAAATATGAGTAAGACTACCCCCCCATTATAGCCTAGTTGAGGGATCAGACCGTTCAATTCACCAGGTATTGATAAAACACTTATTATGTGCAAGGCATTGGCAATACAGAGAC